TCATGTTTTTTTCCGTTTCTTTAACCGGTTGTACCCAACTTTAGGTGAAAGCGGTTGTATAATATAATTTGCGTCGTTTCTAGAGTGCACCTATGGCGCTCCGATCCGTTATACCAGTAGCGATACCAGTTCAATTGAGAAACTTATGGTGCTCCGTTCGTAAATTTGATTGTTCCTACCCCCTAACCCACACCCCTAAACCCCCGGCCCGCACCCCTCAATTTCACCCCGCCGCCACCCCAGCCCCCCTACACCCACTCTAGGTCACCGATTTGGCTTAGAAATGTCTAGTTTGATTTATGTTTGAAATTTGTATATGTGTAAATAATAGATGCTTTTTAAGTGACTAACTTGATTCTAGATGCATAAAATACTCAGAATGTCCTCAAGACCTCAAACGATGTCATATCGTTACTCCCCCACTTATTATGAAAAAAAATTGTAAAATTTGCATTGAATAGAACTAAAACATAAGTCATTTTCCAATGTAGAATTTAAACTTTTTTATTCCCTAAATAGGAATTAATAATGACCAATGAGAAAAATAATGTCCAAGTGATGCTGGACATTCAGTTGAATAATGACTAATAAATAATGACCAATGGTCCTGCATTGAGAAATAAAAACATATGGCCCTATATTGAGAAAGTCATTATGTTTAAGTCCTATTTAGGTAAATTACCCTTTTTTTAATCTTTGTTCGTCTTAAAACAAATATTGCATTTCTTCATTTTTCCTTTTAGAAAATTAATATATGGTGTGAACATAATTTATCTCTCTTTTAAATACAAGAAAATGCTAGAGTCACTAACAAATTAAAACAATTACAAAATTTACGACTAAATTGGTCTTAAGTAATAATTAGAAAATGAAAATTTAAATACATAAATGGTAACTTTATTTATTTTGTTTGTGATTCTAACGTTTCTTAATTTTAAATACTACTGAGTACCTTTGTTTCATATTAAAGTTCTCTTTTTGGTTTTCACGAAGTTTATGAAAAAATGTAATTGGTGATTGAAATTTGCACGGAAGAGAAATAAATAATAATACGGGTCACAAAATCCATTATTTAACACTATGTTTGGTAATGTTGAAATATTAGAATAACAATATTCCTCATTAAATTATGAAGTAGATGATAGAGTATATATAGGAGAGACTCTTAACACAACTATGAATAGAGAATGGAGGCTAACTAAAACATAACATCTACCTTAAATATGAATAGGAAGTTGACTAATAATCAAACACTACCATAACTAATTCTACCAGAAGTTATATTAGTATTATTGTCTAACATCCCCTCAAGCTGAACTCTGGCTGAAGCAAGAGGAAGCTTGGACACTAGCTGGAAATTGAAAACTTTGAGAAGAGAAAAGTCTGACGTGCGCCGGTGGTTGCTGACGTTGTTAAAAAAGAGAGAAGTCTGACGCGTCAGTGGCTGCTGACATCGTTAGAAAAGAGAGAAGTCTGACGTGCGCCGGTGGCTACTGACGTCGTTGGAGAAGAGAGGAAGGGTTGACGTGCGCTTGGCTGACGTCGAAGTAGAAAAGTGTTAAATATAGTAACTCTACATTTATTATATTATACATATATTAGTGTATATTCTAGTTACCATTCTTGTGTAGATTACCTTTATTGTATTCCTACCATAACTAGGATTCTCTTAATATATTTACTTGTAATCTCACATTATACATCATTGGAAATATTAAATCTTTCATGGTATCAGAGCATTAGACTTCACGGCTCTCCCTCCTCCTTCTTCGGCCCTCTCTCCTCCTTCGGCTCTCTCACTGCCGATCTCTCTCTCTCTTTTTTCCGGCGTCACTCATCGGCATCACCATGGCCGACGTCTCGTCCATCTCCTCCGAGAATACTTCCTCCACCAAAATTCCCCATCTCGCCTTCACTACTATCTCCAACATTAAGCTACATATTCCGGTTTAACTAAGCCTCTCCGAACCGAATTACAAAAAGTGGAGCAAACTTTTCAGTCTTCTCGTTCTCCGATTCAACCTCATGGGGTTTCTTGATGGCACCAAAGCCGCCTCCTCCTCCACCGACGTTGAATGGCACCAATTCGACGCCTTGCTCCAAGGGTGGATCCTCTCCACCGTCAACGACGAAGTCTCGGATCTTGTTCTTCCAAACAGCCCCACCGCTCATTCTCTATGGACGGCAATCTACAAATTGTTTCATGACAATAAACATGCACGTGCGATGCAATTGGAGCATCGGTTTCGAACAACAATCAAGGGGACTCGGACGATCAGTGAATATTGCCAACTCCTCAAAAATCTTGTCGATTATCTCGATGATGTGGACGCTCTGGTGACCGAACATGCCTTGGTGTTGCAGGTGCTTCAAGGGCTGCCTCAAGACATCCGGGGTCAGGTTACGTTTCTCCAATATCAAACTCCGTTCCCCACTTTTTTGGAGGTCCGCTTAGCCCTCTTGCTCGTCGAACAACAACAAACCGATGCCACCCATGGCGCCGGCTTGTCGACGGCCCTCCTGAGCGCCGGCAGTGGCGGCGGGAGTCCAGTGGGGGGCGGGCAGCAGCGGCAGGCTGGCGGCCCTAGACGTGGATATGGCGGTCACTCTCGGCCCTTCAATGGCGGAAATCGAGGACGGGGACGTGGCCGCGGACGTGGAGGCTCAAACTCACGACAACCCACCGGATCTCAACCCTGGCAGTTTCCTAACCCTACACCCGGACTTCTGGGCCCACGCCCCTACCCTACCTACCCCCCCTACCCAGCCCAGGCCCACGTGGCCCAAAACACACACCCCCAC